TGACCTCGGGTGATCTGCCCGCCTCGGCCTCCCAAAGTGCTGAGAATACAGGCATGAGCCACCACGCCCGGCCCAGCAATGCCTATTTGAGGACTCTGTTTCTGCCTAACTGGCTTTAAACAACAATTTTATTACATATCATGAGTTTGCAGGTCAGGAATTCAGACAGGGCTTGGTTGCACAAGTCTTCTGTTCCGTGTGACTTTGACAGAGGTCATTGGCAGTATTCAGCTGGTGGGCAGACTGATTTGGAAGGTCCGAGGTAGCTTCACTCACATGCCTGGTGTCTTGCTGGCTCTAGCTAGGAGGCTGGGTTACTGGAGTGTCTGCAGATGGCCTCTCGGGAATGACGGCTGCCAGGTAAACTTACTGGTAGCTCGGGGCCTCCACCTCATTAGCTGGGACATTCCTACAGGTTAAGCTGATATAACAAAGAGCCCTGGAATACAGTGATGTCAACAAGATAAAGCCTACGCCACCCTCAACAGCAGGCACAGAGGCAGCCAGGGCTGGCAGGAAGGCGCTGCAAAGGAACCAGGAGGCAGCACATCCCATGCTTTAAGAAAAGTCTGGCACAAAAGTAGTCATGAAAAAAGAAAAAAAAAGAAAAAGAAAAAAATAAAAGTCTTTGGCCGATGCAGTGGCTCACGCCTGTAATCCCAGCACTTTGGGAGGCCGAGGCAGGCAGATCACTTGAGGTTAGGAGTTTGAGACCAGCCTGGCCAACATGGTGAAACCCTGTGTCTACTAAAAATACAGAAATTAGCCAGGCGTGGTGGCGGGCACCTGTAATCCCAGCTACTCAGGAATCTGAGGAAGGAGAATCACTTGAACACTTGAATCCAGGAGGCGGAGGTTGCAGTGACCCAAGATTGCACCACTGCGCTCCAGCCTGGGAGACAAAGCGAGACTCCATCTCAAAAAAAAAAAAAAAAAGTGTAAGATAGATAGTATGTCACATGGTGTTAAATATTACGGAGAGAAATGAAAGCAGAGATGGAAGAGGGCTAGGAAGGCTAGGCGCTTGGAATTTTCAGCGTGTTGGTCGGTGGAGGTGTGAAGAAAAAAACAAATCTGAATAAGGAACTGAAGGAGAAAGAACTTGAGCCATAAAAGCATTTGGAAGAAGAGGGTTCAGGGAGAGGGAGGGGTGGGACAGGTGCCAGGCTGGGGGCAGGTCTGCAGGGATCAGCACAAGTTCAATACAAACTTGAACCCAGCCAGCAAAGAGCAGCTGGGAGAGGAGGTAAGGGAGGCAAGGGAGGCAGGTCCACATGGAATGATTTCGGGAGCACATCCTGAGGACTTTGGGTCTTGCTCTGAGTGAAGTGGGATATACATATGTGTGTGTGTGTTTCCCTTTTCTCCCACGTTAGCCTTTGCTAAGTTAACCATTATACTCTTCTGCAAAGTTTTGATCATTACACTTTTTTTTTGGTTACCCAGGCTGAGTGCAATGGCGCCATCTCAGCTCATTGCAACCTCCGCCTCCCAGGTTGAAATGATTCTCCTACCTCAGCCTCCTGAGTAGCTGGGATTGCAGGCGCCCACCACCACGCCCAGCTAATTTTTGTATTTTTAGTAGAGACGGGGTTTCACCATGTTGGCCAGGCTGGTTTCTAACTCCTGATCTCATGATCCGCCCATGCTGGCCTCCCATAGTGCTGGGATTACAGGCGTGGGCCACCGCGCCCGGCTAAACTTTTCTTTTTCTTTTTCTTTTTTTTTTTTTTTTTTTTTTGAGATGGAGTTTCGCTCTTGTTACCCAGGCTGGAGTGCAATGGCGCGATCTCGGCTCACCGCAACCTCTGCCTCCTGGGTTCAGGCAATTCTCCTGCCTCAGCCTCCCGAGCAGCTGGGACTACAGGCACGCACCACCATGCCCAGCTAATTTTTTGTATTTTTAGTAGAGACGGGGTTTCACCATGTTGACCAGGATGATCTCGATCTCTTGACCTCGTGATCCACCCGCCTTGGCCTCCCAAAGTGCTGGGATTACAGGCGTGAGCCACCGCGCCTGGCTAAACTTTTCTTTTAACTGCATTTGAGTGTAACATTGTTTCAAAAGAAACACAGGTTTCTTTTGCCTGTGAATCCTCAAACCCAAAATGACAGTAAAACTTTCAGCAGAACAATAATCCAAAATCTATTCCCTCCAATAAGTTATATTTTCCCAGTCCCACACCTGACTCTATCATCCTGGATTTTGCTACCTCTAAAAAATTCCCAGACTACGCGTGTAGTCCCAGCTACTTGGGAAGCTGAGGCAGGAGAATTGCTGAACCTGGGTGGCAGAGGTTGCAGTGAGCCAAGATGGTGCCACTGCACTCCAGCCTGGGTGACCGAGTGAGACTTTGTCTCAAAAAAAGAAAAACAAAAGAAAAAAAATTCCCAGACTAATTAAAAGGAAACAAACCAACAATTTGACAAGAAATATTTTATTCTCTCTATTCTGCTTCAAACTGCCTCTCTTTATTTCTGGAGGAGACTCACATGGATAAAAGTATGCTACTTTGAAGAATGTTTTCAAGTCAAGTCACAGACTCTCAGACTTAAGAGTGTTATTTGTATTATTCAATAGCTCATGTTATAATTAGAATGATTTGAAAGAACACAATTACTTTAAATGTGTTGCAGGAATATTCCCTGATTACCCCAGAATCTTCCAAACAGTCCTCAAATTACTATTGGTTCATTAACAACACGTTATACTGATTCCAAGGATGAATCAATGAAAAGACAGTCCAGACATTTTTTAGAGTAAGGCAATGCTTCCCAATGTCTTCATGAGACCCAAGTACTCAACTTTAGGATCTTAGTCACAGCATGGGGTACCTAGAAAGGGTTTCGGAGGGAACAGGAGCTGGAGAAGGAGGATAGGAACTGGGGTTCGTAGGTATCTGTGACTTCAGGCACTTTTCTCCTTGGGAATGTTCTCGCTGAGCATGCCCAGATCTGTGGGAGAAAAGGAGGTGAACTTTGGTTTTTCTCACTATCGCTCCCCAAACCAGGTTCTTGAGGTTGGGAATGAAACTGGAGAGGAAGATCTCTTTAGGTCATCTGAGATCCGACAGCCTTTTCTTTTCCCTCTCTCTCTCTTTCCTTTTCCTATTTGTTTGTTTATTTATTTATTTTTATTTTTACATGAAGTCTTGCTCTTTCACCAGGCTGGAGTGCAGTGGCATGATCTCGGCGTGATTCTCCCTCATCAGTTGTCAAATAGTTAACAATACAGGCGACTGCCATCACACCCTGCTAATTTTTTTTTTTTTTTGAGACGGAATCTCACTCTGTTGCCAGGCTGTCATGTAGTGTCGTGATCTCAGCTCACTGTAACCTCCGCCTCCCGGGTTCAAGCGATTCTCCTGCCTCAGACTCCCAAGTAGCTGGGATTACAGGCGCCCACCACATCCAGCTAATTTTTGTATTTTTAGTGCAGACAGGGTTTTACCATGTTGGCCAGGATGGTCTTGAACTCCTGACTTCGTGATCCACCCACCTCAGCCTCCCAAAGTGCTGGACTTACAGGCGTGAGCCAACGCACCTGGCTAATTTTTGTATTTTTAGTAGAGATGGGGTTTCACCACGTTGGCCGGGCTGGTCTTGAACTCCTGACCTCAGGTGATCCAACTGCCTCAGCCTCCCAAAGCGCTGGGATTACAAGCCTGAGCCACTGCACCGGGCCCCTTTCCTTTACTTTCATCTGCCCACATATCTTCCCTTTCTATCCCCATCTTACGAAGGTGGTGCTGAGTATTTTCAAGAGTCAGAATGTACTTGAGGTGAAGGTGGAAATTAGTGCATTCGGGAAGCGTATTATATCCAGCATTGTCCAGTACATGCTTTTGAAATCAATTAGTGGAGCTGAAATAAGGACATAGTGTTTCCAAGAATTGGGTTAGAGCTGAAGAAGGAGATGGGGTTGGGGTGAAAGTCCAACTAAAGGAAAGCTGGAAAAGCAGGGGCTGGGGCCTCTGCTGAGCTCATGAATGGGTGGGAGGTTGTGTTTGGATAATTTAATACATTCATTTAACAAATATTTACCAAGTACCTACTATGTGTCATGCATTGTGCTAGGCAGTGAACAATACAAAGGTCCCCACTCATATAGGCCAGGCGCAGTGGCTCATGCCTGTAATCCCTGCATTTTGGGAGGACGAGGCAGGTGGATTCTGAGGTCAGGAGTTTGAGACCAGCCTGGCCAACATGGCAAAACCCCGTCTCTACTAAAATACAAAAATTAGCCAGGTGGGGTGCTGGATGCATGTAATCCCAGATACTCAGGAGGCTGAGGCAGGAGAGTCGCTTGAACCCAGGGAGCAGACGTTGCAGTGAGCCAAGGTCATGCCACTTCATGCCAGCCTGGGCGACAGAGTAAAACTCAACATTACTAAGAAAAAAAAAAAAAAAAAAGACTGAATGCAGGAAATGAAGGTCTTATTTAGGAGAGAGCTTGATGTTGGAAGTGAACCATGAGGTCAAAGTGTGGGGTTTGAAGTTGATGTTGTAGCTAAGGCTAAGCTTGGGGGTGACACTGGAGCAGATAAAGGCTGGGTGTGGGGTCCTAATTGTGGAAGTGTTAGATGTAGACTGGGAAGTGAGGGCTGGACCATGAGGCAGGAATGGAGGTGAAGGAACAGAGTTGAAGGGAGCACTCGAGGCCAGGATGGGGATTCACAGTGGAGGATGAGTGGACGGGGCAGGGGCCGTGTGTGAGGCTGGGTGGATGGGGCGGGGGCCGTGGGTGAGGCTGGGTGGACGGGGCGGGGGCCGTGGGTGAGGCTGGGTGGATGGGGAGGGGGCCGTGGGTGAGGCTGGGTGGACGGGGCGGGGGCCGTGGGTGAGGGTGAGTTCATGGGGTAGGGGCTGTGTGTCAGGGTGAGTGGACGGGGTAGGGGCTGTGGTTATAGATGAGGAGGTCCCTGGTTGGCTCCAGTTCCGTCCTTTTTTTCCTTTACCATCAAACCTCTGCCTGCCCTTCCCTGTTCCGCTTCTCCTGTCTATGTCTCTCCTCCGTGTTTCCTGGCTTTACCTCCAATCTCTGGCTTGGCAAACGTCTCCATCAGACTCCTCTTGGAGGCCTGCTGAGGGCGGGAATAGGGGAGCCCATCTACAAACAAAAACACAACATTCACATTCTCACCTACAAGTGGGAGCTAAATGATGAGAACACATGGACATACAGAGGGAACAACAGACACGGGGCCCACCTGATGGGGGTGGGGGAGGAGGGAGAGGAGCAGAGAACAATTATGATTGCACACTCACCTTAGTACCTGGGTGATGAAATAATCTGTACAACAAACCCCCGACACAGGTTTTCCTATATAACAAAACCTGCACATGTACCCCTTAACCTCTAATAAAAGTTTAAAAAATAAATAAGGCCAAGTGCAGTGGCTCACACTCATAATCCCTGCACTTTGGGAGGCCAAGGCGGGTGGATCACCTAAGGTTAGTGGTTCAAGACCAGCCTGGCCAACACGGTGAAATCCCATCTCTACTAAAAATACAAAATTAGCCGGGCGTGATGGCAGGTGTCTGTAATCTCAGCTACTCAGGAGGCTGAGGCAGGAGAATCGCTTGAACCCAGGAGGCAGAAGTTGCAATGAGCGGAGATCATGCCACTGCACTCCAGCCTGAACAACAAAGCGAGACTGTCTCAAAAATAAAAAATAAAAAAATTGGGAAGAAGGAACATGACTAGTGTGTTACAAGTAGAACCCACAGACACTGTAAACATCCTGTGATGCACAGGACTGGCCCCCACACCAGAGAATTATCCAGCCCCAAATGCCAGTTGTGCCCGAGTTGAGAAGCCATGCCCTAAATTCTCTTCATTTCCCACCAGTGTTAGGGACAAGGATGAGGAGGCTTAGTTGAAGTCACATGTGGCTTTCACAGTGTGCACATTCAAGTGTCCACAGCCCTCTGCACCTCTGCAATTCGGTCCTTCAAGATGTAGAATGGGAAGGAGAGGGGAGCCCCAGAAAGAGTATTTGGTCACCTGAGAAGACAGGATAACGGGACTAGAGATAGGAAGAGACATGGCAGACAGGGAGATTGCCAGGATCAGTATTGACTTTAACAGCCATGACCCAACTCATTTCTTTTTTTTTTTTTTTTTTGAATTGGGCCCCCCCTTTTCCCCCCAGGCTGGGGTGCAGTGGCTCCATCTCGGCTCACTGCAACCTCCACCTCCCAGGTTCAAGTGATTCCCCTGCCTCAGTGTCCTGAGTAGCTGGATTACAGGTGTCCGTCACCACGCCCGGCTGATACTTGTATTTTTAGTAGAGACAGGGTTTCACCATGTTGGCCAGGCTGGTTTTGAACTACTGACCTCAGGTGATCTATCTGCCGTGGCCTCCCAATGTGCTGGGATTACAGGCGTGAGCCACCGCACCCAGCCAACCCATTTCATTTCTACCATGTGCCAGACACTTCCAGGAAACACATGTGCATTTTCTCACTGAGTCATACAACTAAACTCTGAGGTTATTTTGTTTATGCATTTCAAATTGGAGGACTTTGGTGGGGCCTAATGCAAAGAGAAAGTATGGGGCCTGTGGTTCAAAAACGATTCAGAATTTCTAGTTGGTGACAAAAGGGCATCAAACCACGCTGGGCTCCAGGTGATGGGACAGAAGCGTGAAGGAAATGCATCACCTGCTGAGGTTCCCACATAGTAAGTGACAGGGTGAGGGCCGGAGCTCCCATTGACCCATTTCCAAAGCCAGTAGAGCCAGCGGAGAAGGACGCCGGAGAAGACGTCTACATTCCCGTTCACTCACCGATGGCCTTCCACAGGTCCAGGATCTCCAAGGCAGCCTCCCTCTCCTGGTCTTGGTCACCCATCTGGGGGAGGTGGAGGACTGGATGGGGGTGGAGAGAGCAAGAGCAGGTGGTCGGTGAAGTAGAACTGAAAAAACACATCATCCGGCGATTCCACAGCACGGCTCACTGGACGAAGCGCCTCCACCAGGGCTGTAGGACGGGGTGCCTGTTGACTGTTCCTACCTGCCCGTGGGGAAATGGTGCGGCTGAGAGTTACACTGCTGCTAACGGCAGCACCGGGTTTGAACCCACCTCTGCCTGGCTCCACATCTCACGTTCCTTCTGCTCTGCCGCACTGTCTCTGGAGCCGGGGTTTCCCTGCATGAAGCTCAAGCTGAAACCTACCTTGAGCACCACAGGAACCTCGGTATTTTACGGATTTAATGCTCACTAGTCGGCACGTGGCCGTGGTCACACCTAGTGCCCGGGGAAGATGCAAGTGGGGAGATGGGGAGAGACGAATGAAGGAAAAGAGAAAAAAAGAATAGCAGCTAATCGCTACACGGTATCTGCTACACACCAGCTGTTGTTCTATTAATAGCTCAATCCTCGAAACGCTCTAGGATGCAAGGGCCATCATTATACCACCGTCACAGATGGGAAACTGAGGCACGGAGAGATCAAGGCTGCAGCTGGGCGCAGTGGCTCATGCCTGTAATCCCAGCACTTTGGGAGGCCAAGGTAGGCAGATCACAAGGTCAGGAGTTCGAGACCAGCCTGACCAACATGATGAAACCTCCATCTCTACTAAAGATACAGAAAACAATTAGCCAGGCGTAGGTTGGCAGACACCTGTAATCCCACCTACTTAGGAGGCTGAGGGAGGAGAACTGCTTGAACCCAGGAGACGGAGGTTGCAGCGAGCCAAGATTGTACCATTGAACTCCAGCCTGTGTGACAGAGGGAGACTCTGTCCAAAAAAAAAAAAAAGAGAGAGAGATCAAAGTTGCAAACCAAGCAGAGCTGGGATTTGCGCACAAGGCTCTGGTTCAAGTCCACATACCCATCACTCCGCCTAGACTAACCCTTGAGACATGTCTTCAGATAAACCCACGGGTCTCAGTGAATGTGGGTGAGGGTCTTTACAAGCCACAAACTCACTGCCTGCAGCAACCAGGCAGGCTCAGGCCAGGGATGGCGAGCTGAGAGCAGCCTCACTCACCAGGACCCAGAAGGTAGCCAGCACTGTTGAGGGTCCAGCCTCCTCGTCCCTGGATAGAGATGCAGAAATCAAGACTCAGGCAGACAGAAAGGGTGGCAGGCGTCCGACAGGTCTGGGGTGACATGGGTCACCATACCACCTTCCCACTAGGCTGTGGAGCAGGTTCATTTTAATCCCCAGTCCACCGATGAGGAAATTGAGGGTGTCCTAAGACAAAGCAACTTGGCCTGGAAAGAAGGCTTAAAAGGTTCTGCTGTGAGAGAAGGGGGTTATCAGGGGTTGGCGGGGAGAGAAATGGGGAATTGCTCTTCAACACGGATAGTTTCAGTTATTCAGGATAAAGAAGTCCTAGAGGTCGCCGGCACGTTGTCCCTGCAGCCAGCAATACGGTGTGGGTCACTTGAGAGACATGTTAAGGCTGGGCGTGGTGCTCACGCCCGTCATCCTAGCATTTGGGGAGGCCGAAGCAGAAGGATGGCTTGAGAACAGGAGTTCGAGCCCAGCCTGGGCAACGTGGCGAAACCTCGCCTCTAAAAAAAGCACAAAAATTAGGCCGGGCGCGGTGGCTCACGCCTATAATCCCAGCACTTTGGGAGGCTGAGGTGGGTGGATCACCTGAGGTCAAAAGTTCGAGACCAGCCTGGACAACATGGAGAAACCCCATCTCTGCTAAAAAGAAAAAAAATTAGTGGGGTGTAATCTCAGCTACTTGGGAGACTGAGGCAGGAGAATCGCTTGATTACGGGAGGCGGAGGTTACAGTGAGCCGGGATTATACCACTGTACTCCAGCCTGGGCAACAGAGTGAGACTTCGTCTCAAAAAAATAAAAAATTAGCTAGGCATGGTGGTATGCACCTGTAGGTAAGAGGATCGCTTGAGCTCAGGAGCTTGTGGCCGCAGTGAGCTATGATTGAACCCTTGCACTCCAGCCTGGGTGACAGAGCAAGACCCTGTCTCAATAAATAAGTGAATAAAAATATGAAACTAGATCTCATGATAAGTGTTCTCACCAAAACATCTACAAACACAGGAACACAGGGGCATTTCTGGAGGTGGTGATGGATACATTCAGTACCTTGGTTGTGGTGATGGTGTCACAGGTGTATGCATAGCTCCAAACTCAGCAAGATGTATACATCCAATGTATGCATTTTTTTGTAATTTTTTGTTTTAGAGATGGAGTTTTACTCTTGTTACCCAGGCTGGAGTACAATGGTGCGATCTCAGCTCACCACAACATCCACCTCCCAGGTTCGAGTGATCCTCCTGCCTCAGCCTCCTGAGTAGCTGGGATTACAGGCATGTGCCACCATGCCTGGCTAATTTTGTAATTTTAGTAGAGAGAGTTTCTCCACGTTGGTCAGGCTGGTCTCAAACTCCCAACTTCAGGCGATCCTCCTGCCTCACTCTGCCAGAGTACTGGGATTATAGGCATGAGCCACCACATCCAGCCATTGTTTGCATATTAATTATATCATAATAAAGCTTAAAGAAGCACCACTGTAAATTCTTTACCTGTGTAGGATATGCTCATAGATCATCACATCCCTTTGAGAATGATACTGCCCCACATTTACTGTGGGCTTACCCTATGCCAGCATCTATTCTAAGCAGGACTGGCTACGGAATTTGTAGGGCCCAGTGCAAAGAGAAAATATGATGGGACCCATTCTTCAAAAAAGGATTCAGAATTTCAAGCTGGTGACAAAAGAACATTCAACCAAGTTCAGGACCCAGGGAAAGGCACAGGTTGCATGCCTGTCAGCCCAGCTCTTGTTCCCAGCTATTGACATATTTATTCAACGATCCTCCCAGCAACCCTGCTAGGTAAAATTTGCTGTTAGCTTCACTAGAAAGAAGCTATTGAGGCCCAGAAAGATTCAGCAAATTGCAACAAATTGCAACACACTAAGTAGCACACCATGGACTCAAACCCAGAGAGATTACAGACGTTTTTTTTATTTTTGAGATGGAGTCTCACACCTCACTCGGGTTGCCCAGGCTGGAGTGTGGTGATGCTATCTTGGCTCACTGCAACCTCGGCCTCTGGGGTTCAAGTGATTCTCCTGTCTCAGCCTCCCGGGCAGCTGGGACTACAGGCACCTGCCACCATGTCCAGCTAATTTTTGTATTTTTAATCGAGACGGGGTTTCACCATGTCGTCTAGGCTGGTCTCCAGCTCCTGACCTCAGGTGATCTGCCCGCCTCAGCCTCCCTAAGTGCTGGGATTACAAGTGTGAGCCTCCACTCCTGCAGGCCAGTAGATTCGAGACTCTTGAGGAGGATGTGCACTGAATATTTTCGCTACAGTGTTCCACTCTGTAAGATGGGAAGTAGCAAAATAGAAACTGGCAAAGGATTGCCGGGTAGAATTAGCTAATGCACATCAGGGGTTTCAGGCAATGCCCAAGCGCTGAGAAAACACTCCACGCCCATCAGCTCTTGTCAAAACTCCTTGAACATCCCTATAGGATGGATTCCATTATCCCTTAGTTATATAGGAAAAAAGGAGGCTCAAAGAAACAAATATCCTGGCAAGGACCCAGCCAGCACGGAGGAGAGCTGCTGTCCCAACTCAGGGCAGCGGATGCCAAGCCTGACCTCTCTGTGGTTGCTGTTGTTAGCATTTCTTTCCTCTCCTTTCTTTCATTTTCTTTCTTTCCTTTCTGTTCTTTTTCTGTTTGTCGTTTCTTTGTTTGAGATGGAGTCTTGCCTTTCGCCCAGGCTGGAGTGCAGTGACACCATCTCAGCTCATTGCAACCTCAACCTCCTGGGTTCAAGCAATTCTCATGCCTCAGCCTCTTGAGTAGCTGGGACTACAGTCACGCACGACCATACCCAGCTAATTTTTTTTTTTTTTGAAACAGAGTCTCACTCTGTCACCCAGGCAGTGGGTGATCTCAGCTTACTGCAGCCTCCACCTCCTGGGTTCAAGTGATTCCCCTGCCTCAGCCTCCCAAGTAGCTGGGACGACAGGTAGCCACCAGCTCACCCAGCTAATTGTTTGTATTTTTAGTAGAGACAGGGTTTCATGGTGTTAGTCAGGATGGTCCCAATCTGCTGACCTCGTGATCCACCTGCCTTGGCCTCCCAAAGTGCTGGGATTACAGGCGTGAGCCATCACACCAGGCCATTAATTTTTTTTTTTTTTTTAAAGAGATAGAGGGTCTCACTATGTTGCCCAGGCTGGTCTCCAACTCCCGGGCTCAAGCAATCCTCTAGTCTTAGCCACTCAAAGTACTGGAATTACAGGGGTGAACCACTGTGCCTGGACGCTTTTTTTTTATTGGCAGAGAAAATCTGCATTTTAAGTCCAGACATGGTGCACAATATGTGTAGAAATAGTCCACGTTGTGGAGTGACTCCATCAAGTTAGTTACCATCTGCATTATGTCATGTGCTTGTCCTTTCTGTGGCCGGAACACCGAACATCCATCTGCTCTCTTAGCGATTTTCAGGTATACGACACCTTGTTGTTAACAACAGCCACCATGTTCATTCCTCCCGTCCAACTGAAACTGTGTATCCCCAGACCAACATCTCTTAATTATTTACCCCTCATGGCTAAATAATGAGAGCTGTCTGCCATCTGAGTTAACGCTGTTAACTTTTATAGTGCTGGAAGTGGACAAAGAAGATCCATTCAGAGACCAGAGAGGTTAAGCAACGTGCCTGAAGTCACACAGCTAGAAAATCACAGATCCCGGATTTCAAACTCAACCCAGCATGTACAGCCCACACTGTGGAGGTATGCAATCAGAGGTTTTCAAAGTGTCACCCCAGGCTGGGTGCGGTGGCTGAGACCTGTAATCCTAGTGCTTTGGGAGGCGAAGGTGGGAGGATCACTTAAAGCCAGGAGGTCAGGAGTTCAAGACCAGCCTGGCCAACGTGGCGAAACACCATCTCTTCTTAAAAATACGAAAAATTAGCCAGGCATGGTGGCAGGCACCTGTAATCCTAGCTACTTGGGAGGCTGAGGCAGAAGAATTGCTGGAACCTCAGAGGTAGAGGTTGCAGTGAGCCGAGATCAAGCCACTGCACTTTAGCCTGGGTGGCAGAGACTCCATCTCAAAGGAACAAACAAACAAAAAATCAACAACAAAGTGTGATCCCAGGACTAGCCCCTACCCTGGACTCACCCAACCAGAAACCCTGGGGGTGGGTCCCAGTATTACTTTTTCTTCTTCTTCTTCTTTTCTGAGACAACATTTCACTCTTGTTGCCCAGGCTGGAGTGCAATGGTGCGATCTCAGCTCATGGCAACCCCCGCCTCCTGGGTTCAAGAAATTCTGCTGCCTTAGCCTCCCAAGTACCTGGGATTACAGGCACGCGCCACCAGGCCCAGCTAATATTGTATATTTTTATTAGAGACGGGGTTTCACCATGTTGGTCATGCTGGTCTCAAACTCCTGACCTCAGGTGATCCGCCCACCTCAGCCTCCCAAAGTGCTGGGATTATAGGTGTGAAACACTGCGCCTGGCTGAAGGGTCCCAGAATTACTTTAAGTTGCCTTCTAGCTACTTCTCACACATCCTGAGGTGCTGAAAAACAGGAGTGACAGGAAGGCATATTTTTGCATCGCTGGGCAATGTTTGCTGTGAGGAGGTTTTAGCTGTGAGCACCCTGAACCCTGACCTCGTATTTTTCACCCATACTTTGTTCTATCCCCAGAGCCAAGATGAAGCCAGTGTCTGTCTTTCTTCTCATAGTTTCAGGACTTCAGCTTCTTCCCCAGGACCCCTGACGCAAGCCAGGAACATTTTTTAAAACTCTTCCCAGAGGGCAGGGATTTGGGGACAGCATTGTTTCCGAGGCGCTTAGGGAGGCAAGGCATTACCTGGTGGGCAGGCGCGGATGCCGGAGTCTCTGCCAGGCTCAGCAAGAGGAGGAGGAGGGCCAGGGGGGCGGAGGGAGCCATCGAGGGCAGGATGACAGGTGCCTACAGCCGCAGAACACTGCAGGGAGAGAGTGACCACTCATTTTCCAAATTGGGGGCCAGGTGCATTTCCGATAAGGACAGAGGAATTTGTTTTCTACCTTTATGGAGGCATCATTGAGATACAAAAATGATGCATATTTAATGTATGCATCCTGAGGAGTTTGGATGTGTGCAGACAGCCGTGATGTCATTGCCACAGCCATGGAGCTAAGACCTGTTCATCACCTCCAGAAATGCGCTGTGCTCTTCAATGGTTTCCTTTTGGGTAGAGCCCTTCACCTGCAATCTCCCCTCCCTTGTGGTTTTTTTGTTGCTGGTTTTTTTGTTTTGTTTTGTTTTTGAGATGGAGTTTCCCTCTTGTTGCCCAAGCTAGAGTGCAATGGCATGATCTCGGCTCACTGTGTTTCTTCTGCCTCAGCCTCCTGTGTAGCTGGGATTACAGGCGCCCACCACCACGTCCGGCTAATTTTTGTATTTTTAGGAGAGATGGGGGTTTCACCATGTTGGCCAGGCTGGTCTTGAACTCCTGACCTCCAGTGATCTGCCCATGAGCCACTGCACCTGGCCGCACTTCCACCTTTGTTGAAGTCTTTATGAAGTTTCGTTTTGAAATATATGTATGTAGGTGAAACAAGAGAGTTGGTTGAGGGGAAAATGCTGAATCAAGTAAATATGGGATCCTGGGAACATAAAATATAGCAAACAAACAAAAACACCAGGACACATGAATGACCCCCGTTTAGGAACTCCAGGGGAGTCCAAGTGCAGTGGCTCACACCTGCAACCCCGGCACTTTGAGAGGCTGAGGAGGGCAGATCACCTGAGGTCGAGAGTTGGAGACCAGCCTGGCAACATGGCAAAACCCTGTCTGTACTAAAAATACAAAAATTAGCCGGGCGTGGTGGCGTGCCTGTAGTCCCAGCTACTCAGGAGGCTGAGGCAGGAGAATCGCTTGAACCCAGGAGGTGAAGGTTGCAGTGAGCCGAGATCGCGCCATTGCACTCCAGCCTGGGCAACAGAGTGAGAAAAGAAAAGAAAAGAGAAGGGAAGGAGGGAGGGAAAAGAAAATAAAGAAGAAAAAGAAAGAAAGAAAGAAGGAAAGAAAGAAAAAAAAAAAGAAAGAAAAGGGAAGGGAAGGAGGGATGGAGGGAGGGAGGGAAAAGAAAATGAAAGAAGAAAGAGAAAGGAAGGAAGGAAAGAAAAGAAAAGGAGAGAAAGAAAGAAAAGGAAATCCAGGGGAATTAACCCTCTCCTTCCCCGAACATCGGACCGGTCCGGCTGGTCCCCCCAGCACCCATGCCTTCTGCCCACTGCCTCCTGCACTCCATCTTCAAACCCTTCTGTCCTTGTACCTGCCCCTCAGCTTTTCCCTGTCACCAATGCTGCCATTTCTCCTGTTGTCCCCATCCCTTCGCGCCCCCCATCACTCCCCCACCCCTCGGCCCTCCCGGCCCAGGCTCTTACCTCGCTGCAGCTGGCTGCTCTCCGAAGCTCTCTCTGGCTCCTGGCTCAGGCCTGGACTCTTGTACACCCCCTGGGCTTTTATGCCTCCTGAGGAGACAATACAAGGGAGGGGGGAAAGGGAGGGGATTGGGAGGAGAGGGAGTGAAGAGGTGGAGAGGAAGCAGGTGGGGAAGAGTCATCCACTCCAGGGGCTTGCTTTTTTTGTTTGTTTGTTTTGTTTTTTTTTGAGGCAGTCTCTATCTGTCGCCCAGGCTGGAGTGCAGTGGCATAATCTCTGCTAGCTGCAACCTCTGCCTCCCGGGTTCAAGCGATTCTTCTGCCTCAGCCTCCGGAGTAGCCAGGACTACAGGCGCCCACCACCACACACAGCAAATTTTTGAATTTTTAGTAGAGGCAGGGGTTTCATGATTTTGGCAAAGCTGGTCTTGAACTCATGATCTCATGTGATCCACCCACCTCAGCCTCCCAAAGTGCTGGGATTTACAGGTGTGAGCCACACCGCATCCCACTCCAGGGGCTTTCAATAGCTGGTCTCTGAGGTCAAGATGGACACCTCATCACGGAAAAAAAAAAAAGTGGCTGTGCCTCAGTTTCCCCTGGTAGACCCTGCTCTTCCCGCTCCTCCTCTGCCACTTTATGTTCCAGCTGTGGTGTTTCAGGCTTTGCCGCTATTCCAGGGCTCTCCTCCCTCCCTCTCGTCTGCGTCTGGGCCTTGGCACGTGTCTTCCTGGGTTGTCTCCACTGGCACCTGGCGTCTCTGTAGCCCTGCCTTCCCCTCCGCCCCCATCAGTCCCTCCGGCCGGCCGTCTGCAGCTCCCGCTGTGACTTGCACTTCTGTCTTGCACAGTGGACCCTGTTTGTTTCTTGTGAGTTGTCCATCTCCACCTGACCACGGCTAGAGGAGACCCCGTGAGGGGTGTCAGCTGTGCCTTATTCATGGCTGTGTCCCTAGCCCGGAAGTTCTCAACCGGGAGTGACTCTGTGCCCCAGTGTCACCCCAGCCTCACCCCAGGGCATGTGACCAAGTCTGAAGACATTTGTACTTGGGACTTCGGAGGGACTCTCGGCAGGCATCTCGTGGGTGGAGGCCGGGGGCGCGGCTCAGCGTCCCACAGGGCTCAGAGAAGGACCCAGCCCCAAAAGTCAACAGCACCAACGATGGGAAACCCCACCGCAGCCCCTAAAGCAGTGCCTGGGGCTCACTCAACACTTGTTGGGCAAACAAATAAGGAATGTGTCAGGCTGGCTGCGGTGACTCACAGCTGTAATCCCAGCACTTTGGGAGGCCAACGCAGGCGGATCACCTGAGGTCAGGAGTTCGAGACTAGCCTGACCAATATGTCAAAACCCCATCTGTACTAAAAATGCAAAATTAGCCAGGTGTGGTGGTGCATGCCTGTGATCCCAGCTACTCAGGAGGCTGAGGCAGGAGAATCGCTTGAACCTGGGAGGGGAAGGTTGCGGTGACCAGAGATAGTACCACTGCCCTCCAGCCTGGGCAGCAAGAGCAAAACTCCACCTCAAACAAAAAACAAAGAGCGTGTTGTTGCTGCATTTCTCCTCCATCATGTGTGTTGATTCATCTGACTCTGCAGCACGCTGTCTGTCTTTGCCCTAACATCAGCTGCTTTCCAGAGGAAACAACCCTGGAAGAGCTTTCGCTCCTGGCCTGTCCCTTTGCTCTCAAAGGGACGGAGGGAGGGCCTGGTCCCGGCTCCTCTCTGCCGTGGGGCCGTCCTTCTGGCATTCTGTGGGTCTGTGGCTGGCACTTATATCTTCGTCCTGTCTTTACACATCCCCGTAGCCCTTACCCCATCCTTTCTCATCCCAAGGGAAAAGGGAGACCCCCCGCCCAGGACAGGGATGGAGTGAGAAGAAGAGGTGGGGGATGACAGACGCCCTCATGGGCTCCTGAGCCCCTCTCCGCTGTTTCTCTAAGTCCCTCACTCCTCATCCAGACGTTGACAATGATGATGAGGAGGAGGAGGAGGAGTGGGCAGGGGAGGGGGAGGAGGGGAAAGCTTTTAGAAGACAAACTGACAGGAAGGTGTGAATGGCTTTGCTGGGAAGGAGGAAGGAGGAGGAGGGAGTGACGTCCAGTCCACGTGAGACCAGGCAGAGGAGAGGGCCTGCTGAGAGCTTGGAGCTGGGTTACCTGGATCCCAGAGGAGGGCCAGGGAAAAGTGGTAAGTCCTTGCCTTGCTGCCCATTAGCTAGTTGGTGAAAAATAAATGGGGTAGGTCCAAAGCTTGCCCCCTACACACACACACACACACACACACACACACACACACACACACACACA